GCCCAGGTTGTGGCTAAAGGCTAGTTTTTGTCTATTATGCTGGAGAATTGTGTATACTGCAGCTAAGTGTGCACAGAATGAGGTCAGTTTGTGCCCTCCAAGCTTGAGATTTTTCACTTGTCTGGCTGACCCCAGGGGATCCCTGACATGTTATAAGAGAATGAAATGCATGGGAACAAATGGTTGATGTATAGGTATGGTGTGTGAACTAGTGGTGGATGTGCAAGTGTTATATAATCTGGTTAAGTTTTTCTTCATTTTGTTTATACTGCAGTTTTCCTGGTATGTCTGTGTCTTCCCAACTGTTAGGCCTAAAATACTTTCTGGACAGTAGACATGATAAGCAGACCAGCAATAGTAGTATTAGTGGCATGCAGCTTTTCTGTAGAATTACCCTGGACTGTGTTGAGATCGGGAAAACTAATGTAATGGCAATAAAAAGAATAGAAATCAACACTTTGTGACCCATTTTAAAGTGTGGGACCAGTCCAACCTTTATCATCCTAGAATATACTTGTTGGAGGTTTGCTGGCCTTTTCTTGAGGTGTGAAGTGCTTGATGCAGTCCCATTGTCTGTTACCTATATCATTCCTATCCACTTCATATATTAGATTCCAGAGGACTTCAGAATTTTTGTTGGTTTGCCTCTCATATCCCTCCCTAGCTCGTTGTGGTTGTGGGTGGGCTTAGGAGACGAGGACTGAGACCCGAGGTAGGGGATTACCCCTACCTTGGGCCTCCACCCTCACCTCAACTAATTTTCCTTGGTCCTTTCTTCTCTTTTTTCCTCTTCTCTGTCTTCTTTATTCCCTTCTTTTATCCCATTACTAAGGTGTGAGAGCCATGCTGAGAGGATGAAAGGCTGACTTTGTGTCAGTCACAAACAGCCTCCGGGAGCTATGGGCACTGTATTTCCTTTGTTAATTGCCTAGCCCTCACCCCTTATGGGGACTCTGAGGGGTAGACCCCAGTTATTCAGGATCACCATGGCCAATAATAAGAATTCTTTACCCTTAAGGGGAGTTTCATCAAAATCGTCAAAAAAAAAAAAAAAAAAAAAAAAAAAAAAAAAAAAAATCGTTTTTTCAATTCATCTTGTCGATTTTGATGAAACTCACACCCTATTATTTAGAACTGATCCTGTGGTAGGGCCACATAGCCAATTTTCACACTCAGAGTCTCATTAAAACACGATAAAGAAGTACAGGGCAGTGTAAAAATATGTATATAAGATATGTAAGGATATATGGATCATTTTTATGTATCCAATGACCTTTTGTTTATATGCTACTTCTGTTTGTGTGTTTGTTGATTGTTTGTTGTTTTCTGATATTTCTAATTTTAATGAGTTTTTTACTAATTGTGTGTTTTAACCTAATTTAGATGCTGATTGCACTTTGGTGGTGATGTGTATCCAAGATTTTTTTTTCGTAACTCAAAAAGTTATTGACAGATTTTAATATTATTTTTACATGAGGTGTGTCTTAGCCTAACTAATATTCCATAAAATTTTGGTGGTGATCTGGATCATTTGGCAATTGTACCCCCCATTTAGGAGGGGGGGATATTTGCATTTTTGAAATATTTTGCTCATTGATCAAACTAACTATATATGATGAAAACCACCCAGAAAACAGAGGTCGGGCCTTGAAAATATCAGGGGAGAATCAGGTGCCCTGAAACTCCTTGAAAATGCATTAAACTCAATATTGGCACGATGGGCGAAAAATGCCAAAAAATGACAAGACGATCCCCTTAAGGCTTGCCCCTTCATCAAGTAGCCTATCTGAATTTGATTTTGATGGTTTCAGACCCAGCCCATCCTTTGACTGTGGCTCCGACCACTGATACTAATACCCCCTCTTCGACACTTACAAACAACTCTAACCATTCCAAAACACCCAACCAGGTTATTACTCAACCTCTAGAAAGCAACCCTCCCTCTTTCCCAACATTCTCCTCTTCATCTCCTGCTGCACAGTCCTCTTCAATGTCTACCCCCTATTCTGAGAATACCCTCCTCTTTCAACAGTGCCTCCAGAAACAAATAGGCAGGGTTACCTTTCGCAGTCGCTCTGATTGTTCACAGGTACAGTGTCCCAAGCTCTTACACTATATCCCCTAACTGATCTTACTGGCAAATCCATTCCTGCTGAACCTCACCCCTCTCTTAATACTTATACTGGAACTGTTTCTATTCCCCCAAATGCTTGTCCTTTGTATGACAAGAACTGGTCAGACTGTGAAAATGACCTACTTTCCTGCCTTGTTGAATGTGATGCAGTTGCAGTACAGTGTTACACTCTTCCTCCCAGAGGCCAGTGTAAATCCCATGTCACTATTGCCAAGGTTAGCATCTATATACAAGACCTTCCCCTTGAGGTTTATATTGGTGGATTTTGTCTTATTTTCGACAATATCGACGCTTCTTGTCAATGTCAGAAATGTTTGGTGTTTGGCCACCAGCTAAACATTGTCCACGTTTGTGCCCTCTATGTGCCTAACCTGGTCTTGACCGTTCAAATTGCCCTGCTCGGTCACATATATGTGCAATTGTGGAGACTGCCATAATGTATTTATAGACTGCCATGCCTATTAATAATTTGAGGTCCTCCCTAGTGTTTAAACAAGGCCTCACTCTACGTGAGGCCAGACAGGAAGTCACGACGACAGGTTTTTCTCTCACTTATTTCAAACAGTCCTTTGCTCTGCTTCTTCCTACCATCTTCACAAGATAATTCTGCATCTCCCAGGTATTTCTCCCTATATTAAATCTACGTCCTATGTCGTCAATTCTATTCTAATCCACTCAATCTTCTCCTACCCGATCCTACCTCCTCCTCTACAACGCTGTCCTCTTCACCCAAGTTCTCAGATATCTCCAAAACTTCATTGCTCCCTCATCCCACCCCCCTCCCTCTTTCCACTTCTTCTACATAATCACCGAAATTCCCTCTACCTCCTACACCTCCCTACATACCCCACCTCTTACCCTTCCACTTTATTCACACGAATCCCTCTATCACAACAGGTCCTTCTCCCCCTCCCCTCCAGACATTCTTCCTGATAACAGACTTCCCCAGTCCCCTTTCTCATCCTTTGATTATTCATCTCTCCTACTTCTTCAACACCACCTCTGTTCTTGAACACTGTCCTATTCCTTCTCCCGGTCATAGATACGCAATTCACTCGCACCCCCTTATATTCCCTATCCATCCCAAATAGCTTCCTCACCCAAACCAAAACCACATTCTTTTCCACATACCTCATCCTCTCAACCACCCATACCACCCAAACCAACTCCCCTCCCCCCCCAAAAAAAAAAACTCATCCTTCCCCACTATCCCTCCCATTCCCTTCTGGATACACACATGAATCTCTTTTATCACAGACCCCACTTTCCCTATCAAACTCCCAGACACTACTCCATCACCTACTCCTGATCCTTTATCTCAACCCTCAAATACATAATCCCCTACTACTAAGACAACATATCTACCATTATCTCCTATTATCCCTATTCCTTCCCCAGTCACAGATACAATGCAATTCACTTAATTGCTCTACCTCCTTAACCTTTCCCATTTACTAATCACTGCTGTACTTCATTTACTTCCCTCCTTTCCCTTTTCGTTACCGTGCTTTCCTATAACACCCTCTAATCTTTGACACCTAACACCTTCCCCTCTCCCAGAGTCTTCTCCTACTTTTCAATAACTATCTCTAATCTTCCTTGAATATTTTTCCCATACCTTCCCCAGTACAAATACACTATAATACACTCAATCGCCCTACCTCCTTAATCCTCCCCTTTATACTAATTTCTGCTGTAGTTCACTTGCTCTCCTATTTCCCTGTTCACTACTGTACTATCCTATAATGATCTTAAACCTGTGACATCTAACACATTTTATTGTAATCTTTAACTCTCCTTTGCCCTTTTCGATGCAATACTTTACCATAGTGCTATATGACCTTTGATTGGCACATTTATTTTCAAACATTAAACATTAAAACATTGCATCTCATATAGCAGGTACCATACATATTTCATTTGTGATACAAAATAGGATACTTTCAGATGTTATTGATATACCTGCATAGTGCTCTGTGATGCTCGAAAACTCCTGGCCTTGGTAATAAGGTGAAGGGTTATTAGAGATGTAGGCAGAGATATGGACAGAGACTGAGAGGGAGGGTCAAATTAACATAATTTGAAGACCAAACAATGCTTCTTGTAGTGTTAGACAGATATTTCCATCATGTTTAGCAAAAAGGAAGTAATAGTATACATATGTACCGAAATATGTTTGTGATGGATGTGCCATTTTTTTATGTGTAAATGAAAAAACAGACAAGGTGAGCAGATTCTGGATGATGCATAACTGTCATACAAATAAAATGCCATTTTTGTGGTAGAACTATTGGATGTCTCTTTATTATAGGATTAGGTGTAAGGATGGTATCTTATTCTTATTTTACTCATTCATATTCTAGGTGGATGATGAAAAATTTGAAAGTATGTAAAATATTCATACTATTCAGTTACCATGTGTATTATATTCAAAAGAGTTTTTCTACTTTACTGGTATGTTTAAAACGTATTTGGTGAATATATTTTCCATGTTCTTTCTTGTTTTTTAGGTTTACTTTATAGATCATATTTTTCCTTTTGTGCAGTGTGTATTTATTATTTTGTTTTAGACATTTTATAACTGTTTTTATTTGAGGAATATTACTCTTTTTTGTTCTTTTTTTTCAGTATCCACTGTATGCATACCTAACCCAAATTTTCAAGACTTTCATACATGAAGCTGGATAAACTTCACACTCTTAAAATTACACATTTCTGAGCTGTTGAGAATGTACTTCAAAAGGTAATGATAGTAGTTCAGTCTTCCTTTTGCAGCATTCATTTAATAGATGGTATGGCTACAGTGCTTCTGTATTTCTTAATTGCCATTCATATATAGAATTAATGACATGTATAATATGTGCAT